GAAGGATAGTTTTGTTTTATACAAATTTGTGATTGACAGTTTACTTTTTTTCTTACATATAATTTGACTGTGATTTTCCACTGCCTTCTCTCTTCCATTATTTCTCACAGAAGCCAGCCTTTAAATGCAGTGATTCCTTATTGTATATTGCTCATTTTTCTTTTGCTGTTTCAAAAATATGATTATGATGTGTCTGGATGTTTATGTCTTGGTATTCGTCCTCCTTGAGCTTGATTATATATTTATTAATGTTGCTAATTCTTGAAGTTTTCAATTTCTTGAAGTTTTTCTAATTTGTTATCCACACTTTTTTCTGCTGTCTTTTTCTCCTGGCACTTTTATTGCATTTATAAGATGTGCTTGTGATACTGTCTTGTCTTTATAATTTTTTTAGTTTTCTTCAATATATTTTCTTTCTGTTCTTCAAATTAAATTAAATTAATTGTATTCATGTGCCTTGAGGGTCATAGGTGATTATTTATGACATTGTTTATCTGCTGTTGAGCTTCTCCAGCAAAATTTTCATTTAAATCACTGTCTTTCTTTCTCTGCAGTTTGATTTGGTTCTTTCTATAGCTTCTCTCCTTGTAAGATTCTTTGTTTATTAATTCATTGTTATCTTACCCTCATTTTGGGGGTGGTCATGGTGATGGTGCTGGGATTCATTCAGGACAACATAATTGTTACACAAGCACTGTACCAATGAACTGCACTGTTCACACTCCTTTAATTTGTTTTGACACTTGTTTTTATTTTTTAAATTGAGTTTATTGTTACATTTTACATATACCGTACAGTTATATTCATTGTTAGGATCTTGTATCTCTACATGACAGGTCTTGGTTCTCATTTTTTCCCCTTGTCCCTGCCCTCCCTTCACCCCCTCCTCCCCTCCCCATTTGCAAACACTTTATTTCCATCTTTCATTTTCTCACATTTTTTTCTTCACTCTCCTTTAATTTTTAAAAGTATTTTCTTTACTCCATGAAGACATTTATATTAACCTCTTTATAGTGAGTATCTTTCTGTTTCTATCTCTGTGTCTCTCCTCTCTTTCTGTCTCTATGATCTCTAATATCTGTAAATACTCAGATAGTTTTTATTTACTTCAGATTTTGTTCTTTGGAGATAGGTTGTACTTTTGCTATTCTTTGCATGTCTTTAATGTCTGTCTCAAATAGAGCTTTTTACACATTTGGATGAGTAAATGTGCACATATACAGAAACTCCCTATTCTTGTTTTCCTGAAATATTTTGTGTTTGTTGGGGGTTTGTTTGGTAATTTATGTGTTGTTATGGCTTGTCTAGATGTTTCCCCAAAGCCTCATGTAGTCATAGATGGGGCTTTTGGTGGTGGCTGCATCTAGGATGTGTGATGCTGGTATCAAGGATGTGATTCTGGGATTGAATCCTGGTACAGTGCCAGGATTAAGGTAATCCCACCCTGGGTATGAGTTGTACTTGTAATAAGGTTGGGTAACCTGGATAGGACATAAGGGACAGAAATAGAGTTGCTGCTTGTCACTTTCTACTGCTTTGCTGTGTTGTGCCTGCTTACTGTGGACTTTTTCTCTTCTCTGTTGCCCTCTCTTCCATATTACTCTGCCTTGAAGCTATCTAATTATGGACTGAAACCTCTACAAACTGTGAGCCAAATAAACCTTTACTCCTTTAACTTTGGGTGTCAGGTATATTGTCTAATCCACAGGAAAAGTAACTAAGACATATGTGCTAAATCTGAAATGTATATCTTTTCATCTATGTGACCATGATGACTTTGAAAATTTTTGTTTCCTAGTTTTTATTCTTGCCTTCATTTTAAACACTTCTTAGGCCTGTAGCTCCATTTCTTGTCTTAGTAGTCAGCCAAAATATCAGTTTCAAACTACACAGTTGTTTGTCCTCTGTGCTGTATCTGAATGTACATGTGTTGTGCATTTTCTCTCCATGTTCAGATGTGTCCTGCCTCTGTTCTTAGTATCTTCCATTGCATGGCCCCTGTATATATTTTCATTTCAAGGTTGTTCAGCAGTATATGGACAACTCAGTTCTTCAGTGTCAACTGCACGGACATGCCCATTTCATCATCAAGATCTTGTTTCCCTTGATCTCATCCATAGTCCCAGGCTAAAGTAGCTGTTTGTCGTATTCAGCCATTCCCGAGATAATCACTTCACAGACATGCTGTGTGGTCTGGGCACCAGTTACTCTCCAAATCAAATGACCTGTCTCCGACCGTGGCAGCAGTGCCTCTTCGTCCTTTTGGCCTGCCGTTCTGTGGCATATTGTCTACTCTGAATGAGCTAAGGAGAGCCAGGAGTGACTCTGCGCTTGAATATCACAGTCTCTCACTTTTTATAGCCAATGTTCAGCTTTTTAAAAGCATATATTCTTTGCTTCTCAGAATACTTGGTTGTGTTTATTTTATCAGTTACGTCAAGCTCTGTGTTTTATTTTTGGAGGATTTTCTTGTAACCCCCTCACTTGGCCATAACTGCAAGTCTTACCCAGATCCCTTATTTTGTGAAACCATTTCATAAATTACCATTTATTTGCAAATGTAACTGAGAAATGGTTGCATTTCATCATTTTCTTTGCTTGGCACCATTAAGAGTCAGGCAAGAATTGCATTGTGACTTATATAGAAGAACGGTACATGACTACTTTATGCAGAAATATATTACTGTGGTAGAAAAAGTTTTAATCGCTGTCTCACGCACATGTTATATGTGATAACACAACCATATAGTTACATATTCTCTCAGGTTCTCAATTTTGTGAAATGTCCTGCTATGCATCATTTCATTTGTTTACATCTAAGCTTTTTTTCTTGAGTTCCTGACACTGGAGAAAAGTTAGTTTTCGCCTCCATTGATAACTTTTCTTTTTCTAACTGCCTCACTGCTCTGTCCGTAAATCCTTGCACCGACATCACAGGTATCACTTATTTACCTAGACTGATGTTAATAGACTGAATATTTGTACCCTTTCAAATTCATATGTTCATACCCTAATTCCAAGTGTAATTGCATTGTGAGGTGAAACTTTTAGGAGGAAATTAGGCTCAAAGGACAAAAAAGGTAGAACTTGCATGATTGAATTACTGTCCTATTAAGAAAGTGCAATAAGAGACATCAGAACTCCCCCTTTCTTGGTGACCTGAGCAAACAGAAAGAAGTAGATTTTCCACAAGCCAACTTCAAAAGAACTGAATATGGCACCTCCTCAGTCATGGACCTCCTAAGCTCAGGGTTGTTTGTGCCAAGAGTGGTGGCAGACACCTGTAGTCCTGGCACTCTGGGGTGCTGAAGCAGGAGGATGTCAAATTCAAGACCAGCTTGTGCCACCTAGTAACATCTGTTATGTTCATTTAAGCATATTTTAGCAAGTATTCAGAATATTATTTTACCATATTATAAAAATATTAGGTGTTTGTATTTTGGGGAGTGTATACATAGTATACATATACATATAAAAACACTACTTTCAAAGTTAATGTGATTTGTTATGTTATTGAGAAATTTTTGTTTGTACATGTGAATATCTCAGCTCTTAGAGTATGCTTTTTAAAGGAGATTATCTACATGCTAAGTAAATAAACATAAAGTAATACACTTAAAGATCTGTTGTAAAATGTTCTATGTCCAATTTAAATTTATTGGTATGGTTCCAAAATAGCAACATGTAGCTGAGATTAGAAACAGGGTCATTTGGGATCTTTTTGAAATTTAACAAATTTAAGTGTGATGCTGTTCCATGCAGCATAAGCACAATTTAGCATTTCCTAGATAAAATGTTTGAAAATATACATATGTGTCTATATATGAAATTTAACAAATTTAAGTGTGATGCTGTTCCATGCAGCATAAGCACAATTTAGCATTTCCTAGATAAAATGTTTGAAAATATACATATGTGTATATATATACAGACAGAGAGAGAGAGAGAGAGAGAGAGAGAGAGAGAGAGAGAGAGAGAGAATGCACTAGCTATTGGTTTTACAATCTGTATTTGAAATCATTCTGAATATTTTAAGGCAAATTTTACAGAGCTCTCATTTTGTAAATAGCATGGAATTTGATGTATGTCTTTAAAATAATTTCACAATTAGTTACAGATAATTTAAAGTTTGTCATTTTTTCTTGGGGAAATATTTTAAGTCATCAGACAGACAAAGAACTATAGTACTGACCACATATTTTTCTGTTATGGTTATTTATAGTAATTATTGTGGACTACTATGTGGCTAGATTTATTTTATTTAGGTCTCAATTTCAGAGTTTCTTATTTTCTGGTTGTATTGCTTTTACTTTTTTTTTCTTCATTTCCACAGCCAAATCTATGGTTATTTTCAGTTCACATACAAATTATTGCAATTATTTACTTGGGTACCTTTGTGCACACCTAAAATTCCAGCTGCTTGAGAATCTGAAGCAGAAGATCCCAAGTTGGAGACAGCCTTGTCAACCTAATGAGACACTGTCCCAAAATAAAAAATAGCTGGGGATGTAGCTTACTGGCAGAGTGCTTGCCTGTCATTTATGAGCCCTGAGTCAAAGTCTTACACACGTGTGCCACGTGCCCACATGCACACAAACACACCTGCACAATTTCATTTTCCTATCTTAATTCATTTTCTGTAGTCTCCAAGATATGGTGTATGTATTTCTAACAGTTATATAATTTAACCCACTAGAAGTAAGAAGAGTGGAAGTTACAGCTTCTCTTTACTTATTTTTTCTTTAATTTCTATTCATGTATTGTTTATAATGTACATTATTAGTGATACAGAAGTATAAGTACAAATATAAACATTTTAAAAAGTAAAACATTATGTAAATTATTTAACACCTGGTCTCTGGGATACTGTCTGATTTTTATAATGCTGTAGCTAATGTTTTACGTTTCAAGTATAAAAAATAGTCATTTGAGTATTACATGCCAGTTAATTTATATTTTTGTTTATATGCCTTCTGCCTTCTTTTTTCCCCCTTTATCAGGTGATGCTTTTCCTTGGACCATCAGCCTCCATCATTTCAGCATATATACCCTTCTTGGAAAACAAATGACACTTTGCCTAGTGGAACCTATGGGTTGTACCTCTACTCTGGCTGTCACGTCTCAAAAACTAATTGGTACAGGACCTGATGCAAGACATTCATTTGTTGTCTGTCTCCATGTTGACCTAGAGTCATTGGAGATAAAATGCTGTAATCCTCAGGTTGGTATGCTGAATGTATAAAAGGAAAGTTAAAATTACCTATCTTAAACATAACTACCATCCATTTTTTTGAAAGATTCTTCTCTTAAGTATCCTAATTTCTTTTTTAACTGGGCCATCAAATGTCCATGTGGTTAGAATAAGAATTGCTTTGAAACTTTGCCTAGTTTTGTAATTTAAACTATTCTGAAAATATAATGATGACTGTTTAAATGCATCTTTTGGCAGAAGGAATGAAATTAGTTATAGATGTAATGCTCTTAAACACTGAAGCATTTTTTACTGTCAGACTGAAAGTGTTTATTGAAGTGATCAGTTGTAATTTTCAATCAGATTTTCACTGAGAACCTCTTTAATCATCTTGCAGTATTAAAAAAAGGAATAACAGTGATATATTATGATATATTTTCTAAATGTAATACTGTGGCTCAAGGGTAGAGCTCCAGGGTGTTTTATTTTCCATCTGCCATGTTGAGCGGTAAGCTCAGGTCTTGTTGTTTGAATAATTGCCAATTCTAAGCAAAGTCATCCCATAAGTAGAACTAATATTTAGTCTAATCATTTCTTCCTATATCTGATTGTTCCCTGTTATCCTTTTGTCCACTCCCTGAACTTCCTTCTTTCTGCTCTTTAGATACTAAGAATCTCTTTTGAAGAATTATATCAAGGCTGAGTAAACCTCATGAATTGAGATTCCCTTTTTACCCAAAATGTAATGCTTATTCATTTAATTCCTTTTTATCTTCTTGTCATCTTGTGTCTCAATCATCATAAGCCAAGTTGCATTAATTGTTTACCAGCTGCTGTCATTAAAGTTGATCACAAGGTTGTTAGGAAATTTAAGCAAGAAATTAATGAAAATACTTTGTAAAATATGAAGTGCTACACAAAATATCATTTTATTAGATTCTTCTCAAAATGCCTTCTTCACAAGTTGGTGTGACTGTCCAAGGTGCAACAACATTATTCTTCAAGGGTTATCAAGTCATGAAGAGCAAAGCATTAAAGAATCTATAGGTACTTAGACACTTAGTTAGAGGTTAATAGTATTTTTGTAACAGATTAACCTAATTTTTAATTAAAAATACCATGAGATTCCAAATAAATCCCTTTCTTCTGAGTAGCTGCTTTAGTTTCTGCTTCCAGGGTCCTTCTAGTTTCTGTCAAAATTCCAAAGATTACTTCTTTTTTCCATATGAATTCAGCTAATATTTTGAGTACTACACATAAGGCAGAAATGAAAGAAACAAAGATGAGTAAGAAATACACAGAGGCCATATTGATTTATATTGTAATCCAGCTGTTGAAAGCCACACATGAAGAGCAAATATTGAAAAGACCACGACAGAATGCATACAAGATACAGTAAATACAAAGGAGGTAATATTTGATTAACAGCTTACTTCTTATGAGGACCAGAATAGCAACATCATTAAGTTACAAAAGTAGAGGAAACTTCTCATCTCCCAATTCTAAATTAAACAAAAAAAATTCTTACATGAAGACTAAAGAAAGCATTGTTCAGTATAGATCACTAAATGTTATATGTAATTCTACTCCATTTGTTTTGATTCTGTATATCTATGTATTTTCTTCCTCCTCTTCAACTTTATGATTCTGCCTGACCCTATTTTCTAATACCTTGCAAAAGAAGCCCTTCAGGTCTAATTGGATACTACTTTACATCATTCCTGTATTTTTTGTTTTGTTTTGTTTTTTGAGACAGGGTCTCACTATGTGGCTAAGACTGATCTGGAACTCACTATGTAGCCCAGAATGGTCTCGAACTCATAACAATCCTCCTACCTCAGCTTTCTGAGTGCTGGGATTACAGGTCTGGGCCACCATGCCTGGCTTCCTGTATATTTTCTTGATCACCATTACCCATACTTGCCTTTTGCCGAGATTGTACTTCTGTGTAGAAAACTCTGAATCCAGTTAAACCCTGTCTCTCTGTGAGGAAAATATTCCTCAGGACCTTTTCAGCTATTCCAATCTAAGTATTTTTTAAAGTATATGTATATTAAAAGAAAAAAATACTTGAAAAAATTTAATTTAAAATAAATTTACTTTTTAATTGGTATATAAACCATAAAAAATGTACATATGGAAGCACAAGGTCCCTGAGTTCGATCCCTAGTACCAAAAATAAAAATAATAGTATATATGGTATACCATTTGATTTTTTTGATGCATACATGCATTGTGCAATGTTTAAATCAGGTTAAATGTTCCTTTGAACATTTATAATTTCATTGTAGTAAAAACATTTAAAATCCTTCTAGGTTTTGATACATATTACTGCATTATCGCTATGTATGATCATACTATTGTACGATGGCATATCATAAATGCTTATTTCTAGCTAACTACATCAGTACTGTACCATTTGTTAATTTTTCCCATCTCTCCAACCCCTTCACTCTGAAGCTTGTACTCTTAACTTCTGTGAGATACTCTCCACACTCCACATATGAATGAGATCATGCAGTACTTGTCTTTCTGTGTCTTACTTAGTTCACATTATATAATGATTTCCAGTTCCATACATTTTGTCACAAATGACATTCTTTCAGTTATTTTTCAGCTCAATAGTAGACTTTGAACTTTAGAAGTGTAAAATTGTGAAGGCAGTATTTTGTGCATGTACTACCATTTTAAAAGTTTTTCATCACTAATGGACACTTAGGTTGTTTCTGTCTCCTGGCTCTTGTTAATTAATGCTGCAATAAATATAAAAATGTCCATCTTTTCACCATATTGATTTCATATCTTTGGATATATACACAGTAGTAGCATTGGTGCAATACAGGGCAATTCTATTTTCAAATTTTTTGCAGAACATTAATACTGCTTTGTATAGTGGCTATACTAATGTACATTCCCACCAGCCGTGTGTAAATGTTCCCTTTTTTCCATGTCCTAGTGAGCATTTGAGCATTTATCATCTCCTCTTTTGTTGATACCCATTCTAATGGTGAACAGTGATATCTTGTGGTTTTGAAGTTCATTTACCTGAATTTGAATTTTGTTGAGTAATTTGTAATATGCCTTTTGGCCATTTATGTGCCCCCCCCTTTTTAATTGAGTTTATTGGTACATTTTAGGTATACAGTACAGTTACATTCATTATTGGGATCTTGTACGTTTACAAGACAGGTCTTGGTTCTCGTTTTTTCCCCTTGTCCCTGCCCTCCCTTCACCCCCTCCTCCCCGCCCCATTTACAAATTCTTTATTTCCATCTTTTCATTTTCGCACATTTTTTCTCTTATTACCTTTCCCCTCCACTTCCCACTTTCCCTACACTTTTAGCCCTTTTCTTTCCATTTCACAGTGTCAGTTATCTCATTTGGATCTTATGTACTATTACAGTTTATTCATACCAGAGAAACTATTTGGTATTTACACATGTGTGACTTATTTATTTCACTCATGTGTCCCCTTTTGAGAAACGTCTACTTAGGTTTTATTGCCTAATGCAGAGCTATTTGGGTCATTTGGGTTTGTGTATATGCATGCAAGTTTGTGTATTTGCTTTTATTTTTGCTATTGTTTAGAATTCTTTATATATACTCACTGTTAACTTCTAATTGGTTTTCCAATGTTTTGCTGTATGTTTTATCTTCTCTCTATTGAATATATCTTTTGCTCTTCAGAAGCCTTTAAGCTGGATACAATTCCATTTATCTTTTTTGCTTTTATTTCATTTGCTTTTGTGATCCTGTCAAAAAAATTCTATGTATTCCAATGCCTCCAAATATTGTCTCTATGTTTTAAGTCTCTTTTATAGTTCAGTTCTTATGTTTGTTTTAACCTATTTTGAGCTGATATTTATAATGTATAAGTGACAGGGGTCTAGTTTAATTCCTATATAAAATATCCAATTTTTCCAACAAAGAAAAGAGTGTTTTTGCTTCTCTGTTCTTTTCACTTTAGTCTAAAGTCAGTTGGCTGTCAATGTGTGGCTTTTAGTTTGTGTTCCCTATTCTGTCTATTGGCCGTTATGTCTGTTTTTATACTAATACCATGCTATTTTACAGAATATTTTGAAGTCAGGTATTATAGTACCTCCAGATTTATTCTTTTTGCTCAAAGCTATGGATTTTTTTTATTTGTCTGTAGTTCTGTGAAAATTTTAGGTTTATATTTTTTAGAAGAATGTTGCAATATTTTAATAAGAACTGTGTTAAATCTGTGATTTGCTTTGGTTATTATGGACATTTCAATAATACTGATTCTTCCAGTCCATGAACACAGGATCTTTCCATCATGTGTGTGTGTTTGTGTGTGTGTTATGTTAGTGTGCACATGTGCATGCGTCCTCTGCAATTCTTCCATTGTGTTGTGTAAATTTTATTATAAAACAATTCCTAATTGTTTACATTTTTGCTGTTAGTGTTGTTTTTGCTTCTTTGGTTTCTATTTCAGATCATTAGTTATGGGTGTGCTGTAGTGCTGTTCATTTTTAATGTGTTGGATTTTGTATACTGCAGCTTCACTAAATTTATTTAGTGCTACAACCTTTTTCATGGAGTCTGGTGGTGTTCTAAAAGCAATATCAGTTCTTCTGCAAACATTGACAATCTTCTCTTCAAGATAAATGCCTTGTATTCCTTTCTGTTGTCTGATTCTCTGTATGCTTCTATAATTTGTTTAGTTTTTATCATGAGCACGTGTTGAACTTTATCATATGCTTTTTCTCCATATGTGATGGTCGTATGATTTGAGTCCTTCATTCTTTGCTGTTGTATCCTGTTTATCAATTTGCATATGTTGGGCTATCCTTCCATTCTTGAGATGAATCCCACTTCATTTGGTGAATAATGATTTTAATGTGCAGTTGGATTCAGTTTAATAGTATTTTGTGTATTTTTGCATTTGTGTTTCTCAAGTATATTGGCCAATAGCTCACTTTATTTGTTCAGTCTTTGTCTGGTTTTGGTATAAGATTAATAATATCCTTTCGTATGTGAAAGAATCTCTCTTTTTAAATTTTTTA